TTGTATTTTAGCTTGTTTTTGAGACTGATATTTCAAAAAATTAAATGTACCCCATATAAGGAGTTGTCAATCAAACTATTGTAGATTCACATTCCTATAAGTTTGTTTACATCAGCGACGCCCGGCGAATTTGAGACGGGTCGCTAAATTAGCCAGCACTCGCTCTCAAATTCGCCCAAAACCCGTTTTTAAGTGATTTTTCGAGTCATTTGCTGCCACAGAAGCCCCTAGGACTGCATCATTAAGCTCGACTAGGCGGCAGAGACACTCTTCTGGAAGAAATCAGAGGCGGGAAGCGATTTTTCGAAGACAATGTCGCCAATACGAAGTTAGCTTTGAATTGCCGACGTTAGAGAAAGGTCGCCTCCCTAGTCGTTCTGTGGCAGATTTCAGAACCTACCAAGGTAAAATTGGCAAGTTTGAACATCCAAAGAATGCAATCGGTGCAATATTTTGCCTGTAGGTGCGAGTGGCTTGACACTTAAAAAAAATCTATGAAAACAAGACCGTTGGATGCTCCCTGTCGAGATTGAACATCACTCCCATGATGCAGTTCGAACCCACAAGTGAGAAATCTGTGTTTTCTGTGCTGGGTCTCAAAAACGGGCCTGTGGCTAGATCTGTGGGGACTTCCACCAAACAAAAATGCAAAAATACTAAAGACCTGGAATGGGCAATTTCAAAAAACGTAGAATTTCGATTTGCAAAAGATGATTTTGACTCTAAAACTGGAGACGAAAAGACGTGATTCCCAGCCTTATTGGTGCACCAAAAAGTCGAAATTTGGGCATTCCTATCTTTCAGGGGTCCATTTTGCCCAAGTATCGCGCTTGATTTGAAATCTACTACTAGCTGTTGTCATGGAGTGCATTTGGTGGTCTTCTTTTGCGATCTCTGAAACTTGTAATTTTTAGAAGCATCGTTCCTGAAGGAACGATAATCCCTAAAGCGGACGTTAAAGGGTTAACTGACATGGTGTTTTGTTCAGATCATTGGTTTCCACAAATTCATCTGGTACAACCTCTTGTATACCAACTACATTCTCAGAGTTTGTGTTCTCATGATTGTCAACATTTTTCATATTTGTACAGTTATCATTATTGCAGTTATCATCATTCACAGTATTATCATCATAATCATTGTAGTTGTTATTCACAGCATTATCATCATAATCATTGTCATTCAGAGGGTCATTCATAGCATCATCATCATTGTCATTCATAGCATCATCATCATTGTCATTCATAGCATCATCATCATTGTCATTCATAGCATCATCATCATTGTCATTGGTTTTGGAAGGCACTGGCTTAGATTTGTAACATGTGCTTGCTGTCGTTGCACATCATTTCTCTGTAATCCAAATTCTTTTTCAGCCTTCAGCGAATGAAGAGGTTTGGAATTATGTGGCCTGGGTTGTAGTTGCTAGTTTGTTTGGTTATACGTTTAACACTATTAAAAATCCTTTCTTGCCTTTCGGCATTGGCTGATTGGCCAGACACAATCCTCAGCATATCACTAGCATGTGCGCTCAAGTTATGGAAGTAAACACCAATCATCTTCCGTAGAGTTAGTTTTMTCTTATTACTGGTGACAATGTAGTCATGTAGAAGCACAGAGTGATACCAGGCTTGGTTGTAGTAACGAAGGATCTGCTGTACAGTTCTTCTGTTGTCATTTGAGTACAGTATTCGCWGCATTTCTACAAGTGTGTCGATGGTTAAAAGTGCTTGTTGTGACATTATCCCTGACTGGTGTGCAATGCCAGCTGTTTTGATCAGAGCTTTTCGGTAATCAACACATCTCTTACTTTCTTTTCCCTTTAATGACAGTGAASCAGCTTCTGTAAAAACTTTGGCTTCCTCAGGTGGCAGATGTATTGGGAATTCTGTTAGGAAGTTTYCAATGTGGTGGCCTATATCATGAAGTGGCTCACAGGGTAAAACTTCATAACTTTCCAAACCAAACTCTGACAGTGATGTTTCAGGTGTTTGTATTAAAAGTGCAGGGACTCGCTGTTTTCCCTGCAAATCCTCAGTTAGGCGATCTTGTAATTCCTTCGATGTCTTGCCACCATATATCTCTCTTGATCCGAGCTCCTCCTCCAGTTCTTGCTTTAACATACTTTCAAATGGTTTGATCTTCACCTCGCGCAACTTTCTTTTTGCCACAGCTCCTTTGAGGATGGCTTTTTGATGTTTTTCCAAGCTTGCAAAGGTACARTTGAGGGCGTGGTCTAGGCAGTATGTTTCATCACTATGGATTCCACAGGCAGAGCAGAAGTAGTTACCTCCTTTTTGTTGGCCGGCTTCGAATGCTCTTAAGGGCATGTCCCCATGGCAAAATCTCAACTTGTCTGTGTAACTGATTCTTTTCACTTCATTAATACAGTTTATGTTTAATTCAGCAATGCATTTCAGCCTTTCTTCACTGTATAACAGCAGTTCACTATCGGAACTCCCACRTCTTGCTATAAAATGGAGTTCAGGCTCCTCTATTAGTTGCTGAATATTTACAGACTTGCCAAATGCAGCTTGATATTCCTCATCAGTGTAGAACACTGCAGGATCATAAAGGCACGTGATGAGGCATACCAAGTACCCTGAATTTGCYACAGTTGAGTTGTCAAGCCACACCATCAAGTTTCTAGTTCTTTGTATTTCCTTTAGCTTGTTCCTCAACATCTCAATATTGTTAGGATCTTCAACATCATGCAGTTCATTTAYTTGTTCCAGCTCAGCTTTTATTGTGTCTTCACCCATTTCATTTATTTGTTCATCACTTGAAGCTCTGAGGTATTTGCTATGTTTTTTTAACAAATTTTCTCTAATTTCTTTCAGGGGTGTCTTTCGGCCATGTGTTGTGATTTCAACTTTCTTGATCTGTAAGTCGTCGGTGAGTACAAGCTTCTCATACTGTTGAAAGGAATTTGAATAATTTACAATGTTACATAAGTCAGTGTTAAATGGGTGTACATTGTTAATTGAGCAGAAATTAGAATAACAATGGTACCCTGTCAGCCGGATGCCCTAAAAGGTGCAGGAGTGTGTATATAGCATTTCAAACTCTAAAGGTCTGCCATTAGTATCGCTGACCCATTTTTCAAGGGAGTCCCTTCCCCTGGGATGTTTCTTTTGTTTCATGTTAAATACTTGAAGGTATAAGGTATAGGGGAGCAGAATTTCTGTGTTAAGTGTATGTAAATAGTACATAATTGTATCTAATTTACCTTTCTGGGAACAATCATTTCTCCTATTGTGTATTCCTTTGAGTTAATTTTTTCAGTCAATTTTSTCTTTAACYGTTTTACACCAATTTCACATGGCACACTTAATTCACCTCCARCACCTCTCCTTTTCTTCCTTCTGACAGTTGGTGTCTCTGAATTTTGCCTTTTTGTTCGAAATCGTTTAACATCTGTGCCATTGGAGATCAGCCATTCCTTTATTATTTGACCTCCATTCTTTGCCAATTCACCAGTAGTATTTTTAATATTATRGCGCTTAGCTAACTCACTCCAGTTGACCAGGTAATTATCTGGGTAGCCCTCAACCTCAGCTTTTAAGGCCTGCTTATCAAAATCCATAGATTCAATATTTCCAGTGTGGTCTTTTATTTTGGACTTTCCTTGTATCAATTCATTCATCTCTCTCCTTTCTGTTGCAGTTTTCAACGTTTCAAATGATAGAGCTCTTCTTCTACAATCCCATTTACTTAACGATTCTCCACTTCCAAAGCATCTGATTGTATAAAGATTTTAAAAATTACTCAACCAATCTACATGTATTAAATTACATAATGTGGGAAATRCACAAAAGTTATGCTTGTTAATCTTTGTTTTACTTTGCAATTTTAGAGAATATATATTTTTTGTTATTATCATAAAATCTTTAGCTTTGCCAGAACTACTGTACTATATATTTAATCAATTTAATTAAATGATTGTTTATTATCAGGTTTGTTTGTATTATAATTATTTACCAACTTCAAAACAGAATATCAATGAAAGCTTCACCCAACATAGTATTTGCTTTGTAGCACTAGTAAGGATAGATTGTTTTGAATTGTCTTCGTGCATTTTGTTATATTTATTATATTATTATCTTTTACCATTTTGGCATAATTATAYAGTTACCTCAAAAATGCTGTTTCCTCCATTTGCTTTTCATTATTCTCCTTATTTTTCTTATATGACTGTCTTCTCTTATTGCGTAGTTGGTTTGGTGTATTATATTGCAAATCAATATCTGACACTTTAGAGAGAGCTTCAGCAAAAGAGGTCCCAAATTGTTTTTGAAACATTGGATCAACCTTGTCATATATTGCTTTTGCAGTGTTTTTAATGTCTCTTTGTAGAGGTTTCACCTGGGKKGTTGGGGTAGTTTTGGTACATGTACTAGCTGTAAACACTGGGTTTTGCATAGCTTTGCCCTTAAGGAAGTTAGATTTTACAGGGAAGWAAGCTTGGATGTCACAGTATCTAACAATACATCCTTTRCAGTTTGAAAAGCAATGTTCTCTCCTCTTTGATTCACTGAGTTGCTGCCAAGCTTTTAGAGAGAAAGTGTCTAGAAATTTGTTTTTTTCATGCAGCTTCCTACCATTCCACTTAATAATCTTTTCTCTTAAACCAGGGAGTTTCTTGTGAAACTGCTGGAAGCTAATTACGTCCCCAGAACTTGTACTGCCTGTGTAAATTCGCTTAAAYTCAGCAAACTGCTCCTGCTTAAATCTTGCTTGATATTTAGTTTTGCTTTCTTTTTCACCTCTAGTGATTGAACTGCTTGCACCATTTGAGAGCTCAAATGCTMTAASTTTAGCAAATCCGCAAGTCCCAGGACTAATAAATGTACCAGACATGTCAACTAATACTTAAAAAATCAAAAGTAACTCAATTTTAAGTCGAAGGTACTTTTAAAACACGAAGAAGAGCAAACTATTTAGATATTCCGTAACTAGCCGTTTTGAAAATCCCGCTAAAACTTGATTAAAATATGCATGCGCAGTAATGACAACAATATCGATTAGTTTCAATATTTTTATTGATCAAATGACAAGATGTGGTCTAAAGAGCTACATGGCAAAACACCATAGAATACCAAATAATGGCTGCATCCTTTACTACATTATAAATGTTTTGACCGTAAAATATCAAAAATACTCACTTTCTTTTTTGAATATCACTTCCTTACATCCTCGTTTAATATTTAAAGTTATAAAAATCGGTCCTGCTTTTGTATACTTAGCGAAAAAATCCTTGTTGTTCTTCAAAATTGTTTGAAAGCCACTATTTCGTCCGCCATCTTTCTCTTCGGTCCCCAGTCTTTTTGGCGTGAATTTTGACTAATTGCATGTGCTGCTGACCCTTGAAATTGAGCCCGCGCTGTGTAATATATGGAAGTTCAGTTTGCCTCTTGAAATACGAGTGGAGAGCGTGGAAACTGCTTTGTTCTTAACGATTATTGCTGTTTMTTATACTTTTATACCTTCTTCACACAAAACTAACTGGATATCTAATGAAATAGTCTTCTTTTGAGTTAAAATATGCTATACAAATCGCCAAAGTCATTTCGCTCGTAAAGATTGAAATCTTGATTACAGTTGCCGTTTTATTTTTACACTGGTGCACGATATCCACTTAGTTTCACCAACTTTAGTGTGTATTCTTTCTTCACTCATAGTTACATTGACCAAATTATATGAAACCAGCGTCTCCATCGGCTTTGAATGAAAGGTACATTTTTCGCTCTAATTATGCAAATTAGAATTGTMACGTGATTWTTTTTATGGCAACAATTAGCTCGAAATACTGGTCTTGCCATATTTAGATSACCTGCCAAGTTTCAGATGATTTGAAGCAAGCATTCCATTTATTTTTATTTTTTTCTTAATAATCGCCATTTTTTGGTTGTGAGCCATGCCTTAAAGGTGCTGAGGAAAAAAATTTAGAATTGATGCTGTTTGCAGCAGACTTCGAAAAAGCTTTCGATTCTATTGAACATGAATTCATTTTTGCGGTGTTAAAAAAGTTTGGATTCGATGACAAATTTGTTAAATGRATAAAAATTCTGCTATATAATAATCAATGCTGCATTATGAATAACGGAACTTCGTCTGAATTTTTTAACATCAACAGAGGAACAAAACAAGGGGATCCAATATCCCCATATCTTTTCCTACTTATTATAGAAATTTTAGCTATTATGRTAAGAAAATGTAAAGAAATAAAAGGCATTAACGTTGATGGAAAAAATAAGAAATTGGTCTTATTCGCGGACGATAAAACGTTCTTTCTACAAAATATACAATCTTTTAAGGAAGTTTTAAGGCAACTCGATCAGTTTTATAAATTCTCATCTCTAAAAGTAAACGCTAAAAAATCTGAAGTAGGATGGCTCKGGAAGAAAATGTGTGCTCCTCCATTGGAATTAACTCATAAGTATAAATGGGTAGATTTTCACACAAAAGGTATAAAAATACTTGGTATATACTTCTCATATGACCAACATTTCAGCTATGAATATAATTTTAAACGCGTCCTCACAAACTTTCAGACCGTTTTATCCATTTGGAAACGAAGAAACTTGACGTTAATTGGTAAAACTCAAATATTACGCTCTCTTGCCCTCCCGAAACTAATGTATGTTTGTTCCGTGCTACAGTACCTTCTGGTTTTACAAAAAAGTAGAGAAAACGATCCAGGACTTTATATGGAATGGTAAGAAGCCGAAAATTAAACAATCCACGCTGATAGGCAATTACGAGGATGGGGGCCTAAAACTGCCAGATTTTCAATTAACTCTAAAAGCAAATAGAGCTAAATGGGCTATTAAACTATTTCATTCGAAAAGCGACAATGAAAATAGAAACCCAATACTGTCAAAGTATTTGTATAAAATAGGGGGTACTGATCATATAAAGCTCAATTTCAATAAAGAATGTATTCCTCAAAATATTCCTCTTTTTTATAGAGATATTCTTATAGTTTGGTCGGAAATTTCTGACACGATTAACGTTGAAGATGATCCCAACACGATATTAAATCAACACATATGGAATAATAAGAATATAAGGATTGGAGGCAAGTCTATTTTTTATAAGGATTTCTCTGATTTAGGTATCAATAACATCATAGAACTATGTAATGGGAATGCCGTTTTTAAATGGGAATTCGTTAAAAAAAAAGGTCTTGAAGAAAAAAGCTTCTTAAAATGGGCTGGATTAACTCATGCTATTCCACCAATGTGGAAAAAAAAGTCAAATGAACAGCTTTGTTCGTATTATTCACGTTTCTTTCAATATAAAATCCTGAACAACATCCTATATCTAAATCGCGATTTATATCATTTCAAGCTATTAGATAATTACTCTTGTTCTTTCTGTACTGTACACGAAGAAACGACTAGACATTTATTTGTGGAATGTAATGAATCTAAGAATTTTTACACGAACATTAAAACCCATTTTTCTAATACTGGTGTAATCCTACCGGAATGTAATGAGGAAAATATTCTTTTCGGTGTTGATGATATCTCGTTGAACKATATAATTATATGTTATAAAATTATTATTTATAAGTTCCGAAACAAGAAAAGAATTCCTACACTTGATATCTTTAAAAATTTTCTAAACTACAATAAAAACATTGAGTACAAAATAGCCCAATCAAAGGATAATTTATTRAAGTACAAAAAGAAATGGAGTAAAATTATTCCGGGTCTCTCTTGACTTGTGGCAAATTAACATAATATCCTGTCGTGCAYTGTTGTGTTTTTGTTTTTGTTTGTTCTTATCCTTTATTTCTTTCACTGTGTACTGTTTGTTGTGGTTGACGCTAGTGTTGTAACGTATATATCAATAACCCTTTACCATATCTCTCTAAGTTATAAAAAAATTCCCATAAAAAAAAACTGTTGAAGGTATCACCTAGTGATACCTTCTCTAATGTGTAAATAAAAAAAAAACTGTCTAGAAGGTATCACTTAAGTGTTACCTTCCTTAATTTGTAAATAAAAATGTGAATAAATATATAGAAGAAAAAGAAAAAAAAGAGAGATGGAGGATGGCTAGAAAGAAACTGATATTTGTAATTTTTGTAGTGTAGTGTAGTTTAACCTATTTTGGTATGTAATTATTGTAGCTGCTTATTAATAATAAATATTAATCAAAAAAAATTATGATGAATAAAGTATAGTTCTGCAAAATACCACTTATTTAACAGACTAAGAACACCTTCTTTTGAACTTAAAGTACTTCAACTTAATAAGGGAATGTTCATTAAATACTCTGAGGGGGGAGGAAGATTTTACAACGTTGCCCCTCTTTTCACAACAAAATTTTTTTCATTGCCCCCCTTTCAAGCCAGATTTATTTTCAGAATTCCCCCCCCCCAACTAGCAAATTATTTGAACGCAACAGGTACCCAACCAAACCCAAAACAGGACTCGCGTTCACCGTCTCTCTTTGACTGTAAACACATGTCGCTTGTCTTGTATTTTCTTCGATTAAAGTACTTACTATCTTCGTTTTTTCGTCTTTACAACTTTGTTGACATTCGTTGAGTTCTTTGTGGCCATAGAGTCTGTATAAGCTGAAATATACTAAGTCCTTTTCGAATAGATAGCTATTGTAGCTTGCGATGAAGTTTCACGATAGGAAGTTTCACGATAAATTCGCGGTATCTCTTCTAATGACCTTTTCGAAAACGCTCGACATCTTAGTGTGGCTATACCGCGAATGGTGAGTGCATTTGTGAGCAAATTGAGCGTATTTTTTGTCAATGAATCCATACTTCGATGATGTACAAACTGTACCAGTGCAGCTTTTGTTAACCGAAAGCATGGCGATAGACTTTGACATGTGACTGTGGGATCCTCGTTGGACATCATGTTTGGCGTTGAAAGAAAAAGAATGCCGAAACCTATACTTCAGGATTCCTCTGAAATCCCTCG